CCCCCGCTTCCGGCCCTTAGTGTGGCCCCTGTGTCTGACTCATGACTTGGCAGGACCAGTATGAATCGAGTCGGTAGTTGACTCGCAGCGGACCGACTGTGGTTCACAGGACCGACTTTCGGTACGTTTATACCTGTGTTAGTTTTTTTTGTCGCGATAATCATTTATCAAATCCTAATGGAAATTTTATTGCACTCGTTTTTAAAACAATTGGGTATGTGATGTGCGTCGTGATCGATTATTTGATCGTCCGAGGGGGATCGATTGCTGTAATCGATATATGGTGTCAATTTATCGATATATAAATGCTATAAATAAATTAGTGTTGATACAATTTCGGTAGGATTTGTGCGCGTCATCGGAACGCAATCTTATTCATGAAGTCTCAACGTATAATTCTAATGTACTGATATTGTAAAATAAAATGCAAATACAAAAGCGAATCGAATGTCTAAATATGTTGATAAACCATGTGTCTATAATAAAATGTATTTCCTTAAACCGGTGTAGTGCGACGCGGCTCGCACTAACGCCCACTCTCCGATAGTTCTACAAATTATGTTTTTAATTATTATTAAATTAAACGGTAGTTATGTATATCTTATCTCTATATAATATGTATATGAATGTAAGTGTTTAGTGCGCTATGCGCGCTGAAGTTTTTTTTTTGTATTTAGTTGACAGACTTTTTGTAATTAATATTATTGTGAAAAAATATGAAAGTATGACTTAGATGGGTAATCTTAATAATAATAATAACTGGTAACCTTATTATAAAATAGTCGAGGTCTTTTTTATGTGAAAGAATGCTGTCTTGATCTCGCGGGCATTTGAAAGTACGAGGGAAATATACATTGAATTTGACAAGTGGTTTTATTGCACCTGAATAGAGTTATAGACTTGAGTTTACGCGATTTACAGCCCGCATATAGTACAATCAGGGAATCTGTCAGTGTTCCATGTCAAAAGCTAGCCATTTAAATGTTATGTACATGTTCAGATGACTGAAAAATAATGAATAGAATGCTTTTAAATGTTTATACAAAAAGGTTAGTCCGCGGTAGACGGTTACTAACTTTTTTCATTATTATCCCGTACTTTGCGCAACACACTGATTTTTCTTGGGAAGTTTGTGTTATTGCAAGGAACAAAAATTTTCATCTAAAGTGAAACCGCGGATTTCCTCGACTACATCGCATTAAGCTGTTTGTTGAGTCGATTTTTTTTTTGCTGCTAAATCTGCTATTTTCCCCTAAGGGAAAAATGCCGTGTTAATTGCAATCAGACAAACCTATTTCTAAAAATTACTAATTAGGTAGCAGTGTGTGGCGAAAACGAAGGGATAAAAAAAAACTATTCATGATCCCTAACAGATTTTTCTTCCTAGATACGTTTCTAATCTGCGTTGTATTGGTTTTTATACCGCGTCTCGTTTTAAAATGTTCAAACGATTGTAGCTATTAAGTGGAACATCGACAGTTTCCCCGATTGTACCTACGAATAGTTCCTTATTCTTTAATTTGACGAGGGATTTTATTTTCCGGGTCAAGGTATATAGAAAATGTATGAAATAAAACAACAGTAACATGTCAAATATTTATTACAATCAACGGTTTTATAAAGTGAGCTATAAACAATGTTTACAGATTAACAATTGCTATTTATTAAATAACTTTAAGCAAAAAAAATACAAGTAATCAAATATCACCGTAAAAAGCACAACAAAATTATTCCCAAAACTTACTCGTAATAAAAAAAAAATATGTTAATATTTTATCAAGCACAAAACCGAATAATTGTTGGTTTTCACTACCGAGATATCGATGAAAACATTTCGACAGAGGTGCTAATTTTTGTAGCAGTGAAAACTAACGTTAACAATCTATTATTATGTAATCAGACAAAACATCCAGCCCCTTACTAAAGGATCATTTTTAATGTCCTCACATATCTTTAAAGGAATGTACTTGAACAATTATTTAGTAACAAAGACAATAATGAAAAGTCCCTTATAACCTATAATTATAACAGCATCAATGTACGAAAACAAATTTGCATAATAATCTAAAATATTGTGCGTCAAGTTAATTCAAAGTGCTGGAATTTGTTTTTTACAATCAAAATGCTTGGATCACTGATTAGTATAAATGGATAGGCATTTACTTAAAACAGACAGCATAATTCTTGACAACGCCACTTTTGATGTTAAGTATTTAGAACCCTCACCAATGGCTACCATCAGCACAAATGGCGAAAATCAAATAGGCACAAAATGACACATTTCATGCCTGTCCATTTATAGCGATCAATGACATTTAAAAAAATATTGTCATCTGTTCATTCAATTTGAACAAAACAGAGATATTTATAAATCTATTTCTGTAGTGGAATAAACTTGGATAATTCTAAAGAATGTCTTCAAATATGAAATACATTTTGTATATAATGATTCAACAGTTAACACAATGTCATACTTCCAGCATATAACATAAGAAAACATTTCTATAGAAGTTGTGCGGCTGATTCATCAACTAACCAATAAACGGAGCCTTCTTTCGGTTGTACTCTCGCAGCCGGCAGATCTTCTTTATTTATTAATATACGCTAGAAAATAAGAAAAAGGTAAACATACTGAGTACAATATAAGAATTTAATAGATATGGAAAATCGTAATTATTTTCTAATCTTTTGTGTTTTTAAAATGTTTTCTGACAACTTCCTCTTTATGTAAGTCTCCTCCTCCGTCGGATAAGGGTAGGATACGCATCTGCAATTGCAGATGCCTATGGGCAGTGGTCGCTTCGCCATTTTGGCGGATTCAGGTGGCCGCTTGCTCGTTTGCCATCTTATGTTATAAAAAATGAAAGTGCTAACTTCACATCTTAATAATATTATAAACTAGTTTTTACCTGCGACTCTGTCTGTGTGGAATTAAAAAAAGCAAAAGTGAGTTGCCTATGTCTTCCAGACTATACTCTGTCTATGCCAAATTTCAATGAGATTCATTCAGCAGTTTAGGCTAAAAAACTCTAACAAACATCCATCCATCTAAACTTTCACATTTATAAAATTAGTAAGATGTGAAAGCTTGGATGCATTGATGGATGTTTGAACAAATCTCAATAAAATTTGGCATATGTATAGAGGGTAGTCTGAAATAATACATAGGCTTACTTATTTTTTTAATTCCATGCAGACAGAGTAACAGGCAAAAGCTAGTGAGAGATAAATTTGTGGAATTATGTATCAGGTATTTAAAATAGCTGTCAATTTTTTTATATGAAAAAAATATAAAAAACAACTTACTTTAAGCATCTCAGCTTTTCCGGCTCCACTGCAAGCAAATATACAGTTCCTAGCTTTGTTAATAACTGGATAGGTTAATGTTATTCTGGCCGGAGGTGGTTTAGGAGAATCGGTGATTACTGCAACCTTCAGATCAACTTCATCCAGGAGTGGATGACCAGGGAACAAGGAGCAGGTATGCCCGTCAGGTCCCATGCCCAATAGTAACAGGTCGAATTTAAAATTGTCACTTTTAAATGCTTCTTTCAATTGTTCTGTGTAATCTTTTGCTGCTTCCTTAGCTGAAAATGTTTAGTTAACATATTATTTGACTATAAAATCATTAGAGCATCGGTGGCTCAGTGGTTTCAACACTTGACTTGTCATCTACAGGTCTTGGGTTCAAATCCCACCATGTACCAATGTGATTTTAGATTTTTCGAATTTTCATATGTACATAATTTACCTGACGTTGTTACGGTGAAGGAAAACATCGTGATGCAACCTTCACATATCGGCGAAGAAATTCAAAGATATGTGTGAAGTCAACCAACCCGCACTTGGCTAGCGTAGTTGACTATGGCCTAGTCACCCCGTATTAGGGTAGGCTCCGAGCCCCTTGGTGGGGATATGTAGTGAGCTGGTGATGATGATGATGATGATAAAAGCATTAAAAAAATCAATGGTTTAAGCCATTTTTCGTAAGCTACAATTGTAATAAATACATATGTAAAAGATAAGCAAAATTTGTTAATTATATGTTAGTAAAAAAAAAATCTTACCAGTGACACCTTGCTTTAATACAACAAATTGGTTTCTAGTCAATTTAGTTTTAGGTATCAACATTCGCTCGTAACAACCGAAGGTGGAGTCATCATTATCTTCCGGTACTATTCTTTCATCACAAAATGCTAGTGTCCACTTTGACCAGTCTGTTTTAACTTGAGGAAGACCTTCACATAGATATTTGACTACTGATCCACCTGAAAATATGTAATTTAGATTAGTTATGACGCTATATTCTCATGACACAATATGCTAGTAACTTTAAAAAACACTTCTAGAACTTAAGCGACTAGATATTGAAGGATGTAATATCGTAAAGCCAATTTACGTAAAGACCTAGAAAGTTTTTTTACTGTCTTATCGTTGCATTTTAATAAGTTTTACTTTAAATGTGACGAAGGTAGCAAAAAATATATAATCACCTGATAACCCAATATAAAATCGTCCTCTGTTTACGATAGCGTCATTTGATATCTTTTCTACATAAGATGAGAGTTTCTTGATGATTTCTTGTTCGTTTTTTACTTTAATAGTAGTCATTTTTACTTCAAAAAATAAAAAAACGACTTCGAAAAGAGCACCGGCGCCGTTTTCTATGTCAAATCTTTCGCGAAGACTATTTCAAGGTCAGTGTTGACCTATTTAAAACCAATTTCTTACAAAATAATACTTTTTCTTCATAAAAATTTCATTACAAAACTAATCGTTAAAAATAATAAGTAACTGCGAATTTTTTTACTTTAGAAAAATACGCTTTTGAATCGGAATAATATAGAAAGCTTTAATTTTAATAATTTTGTACTGCATTTCTACTAAATAGTAATATTTAATATTCATACATATGGCCACACTTCATAAAGTTATTACAAAAATACATGAATCATGAAATGCGGTATAACAATGATGTAATTTGCGTTTGTAATCATAATTATGTATTTTCTATCTACCTAGAGTTCACATTTTGTAAAAGGAAAATTCTAGGGGCTTTTCCTATTTTAGAAAATTTAAAAAAAAAATTAAAAATCTTAAAGAAAGACAATGTGAACTCTACTTTAAATAATCATGTTATGGACGAATTTTTTAATTTTGTTATTGGAAAACTAAAATCTAAAGCAAAAAGTGTTTGTCAGAAGTGGGATTCGAACCCACGCCCACAGAAGTGGACTGCGACCTGAACGCAGCGCCTTAGACCGCTCGGCCATCCTGACTTTACATGAGTGATGAAATTTACATATAAAACATACAGAAAATTTAGATGAATTAAAAATCGAAAATAGTTTTCTTTTAATTAACGGATAAAAAATGAAACCTACATATTTACTAAGTCTATTGATAAATATTTTTTTCCATCAAGGTTAACTATGATACAATGTCTATGAAAATACATTTTTTTTGCATGAGCCACAGTTACTACGAAAAGTCGATTGATTGAATTTAAAATAGCGAAAACTGAAATCCATTATTTTTTACAGCTGTGCTGTTATCATCTAAATTAAATTATTTTTCTCGACGTGATAAAATAAATCTCGAGATATCTTACAAACTTGTCAAGCACTTGCCCTCAGTCGGGCAAAAAGAACATCGCAGTGGTAGGATCCCTGCAGTCATGGTCGGGCAACAGGGCAATTACAGGAGACTGGTGACGCTGAATACAACGCGCCTCCAAACCCACCACTACGATGCCCCGCAGAGCGCGCGAAAACTGCAGCTATAACAATTGCACAAGTCATGCATTCTAAACTCGTGCGCGTAATGTTCTAATACTTTTATAATAAATATATCGTTTTGGATGTGTTTATTTTTTTATTACAATATTTAAATAATAAGTGTGACGAGGAAAAAAATCTGATTTAAATTTAAGAAATCAATGTATAAATTTGTCGCGGATTATAAATTGTACAATTAATAATGAATTTAAATCAAATATTGATTTACTTTTATTTAAATTTCAAATTATTATTAGACAAAAATAAAACGTTAGTATCAGCTACTCGACAATAGATGGCGTTCATGAATAGGATCGCATAACTGTCAATAGATGGCATTAAAAATTATTACAAGTTAAATTGGCCGAACACAAGGCTACAAAGTCGTGGAAAACCAGAAACATTTGCCGTAGTAAAAAGTGAAAGTACAATGCGACTGCGTGTATTCGAAAACGAGCACGTCGACCGCGACCAAACGGTTGTTGACCGTCAAAACTATTCACGGATGACGTAATTGTCGTAATCACGACGCGGGAACTTTTTATGTGTATGTAGATCGTGTATAAATATACGAGTTTACACTGCCGAAACATATGTTAAAGCATTACTCTTGTCATTCCATTTCGAAAAAAACAGAGATGAATGTGTGTGTGTTTTAACTATGTGCTTTTTTATTAAAAACAGGGGCAAACGAGTGGCGGAAACACCAAAGTGAGTTGGTTGGTGTGAAAGTAATCTATTTGAAGATTCAATCAAAATGGAAGTTTTTATAACTGAAACATCTATTTCAGTCAGAAATATAGGACATTTAAATCTTAGGAATTCATTTTAAATTTATTTTTCAAGTTGAATTTGAATCTACGATAGCTTTTTTAAAATAAAAATATTAGTATATTTTTGTTAATTTACTAATAACTAACTAAATCAGCTTGTAATCGAACATTACCACAGATAAGCGAAATTTAATTTAAATCGTATATGTAACGTGGTAATTACATATAATTTGTTTACAAATAAATATAGTGCATAGTTTGTAACGCAAGCTAATCGTACATCCGTACATAGGTCAAGGTGCACACGATTATACCAGTGGTGTTCAAACTTTTCTATAGTACGGATCATTTTGCACAGTTTTTATCTCCTCCGTTCCGTTGCCTCTGTCAATTAAAGGTTTCTTTTTCTATACTATTATAATAAAGCGTAAACACACACTTCTTTGTTGCCTAAGATGTCAGTAATCACAGCATATTTTTGAATGTCTTTTTTTAATAAAAAGCCCTACACTTACGTCACGCTTTAGGCTATATGTTTTCACGCCATTGAAGTTAGAGGGTAAATATTTTGGATAAAAACCCTGATGTGGGAAAGAGACCATAAGTTGCTGCCATCATCAAGACAGTAAGATTGCCAAGGTTTGTCATGTCATGTCATTTTGACATTTGCTATTGATAATTTGTCAAATGTAAACAATAAAATAAAATTTTCATAATTTTACGCGGATAAAGCCGCACAGGAACAGCTAGTATTATCATAACATAAGGTAGTCACGAACAAGGAGCCATCTGAATCCGCCGAAAGCGGACCGCTGCCCATAGACATCCGCAATCGCAGATGCATTGCCTACACTTGATCAACGGAGAAGGAGACGTACATAAATATTTACCTTTCCTATGCATCTCCTCCGCCGTCAAATCTACTTTCCCTTCACACCCTTTTTTATAAGATAAATTAGGCCTCCGGCACCACACTTATCAGACGAAACGCGGAATTGCTTCACCTTTACGCTTGTCTTGAATGTGGTCGTGGTATTGCTGGGGGCGAGCCGGCCCTATACTACAGTGCAAAGATGTTAAAGCGGGCTCTACCACAGTTAGACCATAAGGTACGGTGCATTTGAAACCTCAAACTTGCAGATGATATGGTAGCGTCATATCCCTAATTCATCGAAATCGGTTTACCATTTTTTGTTATTTTATTGATTAGTTTGCAAGTTTGGGAAGCGGTAAACCAGAACAATAAAACATGGATGCAATTGTAGGATGACCTTTTGTATGCAGAACAAGTGTACTCAATCGAAGGTCAAATAAGTTTGGTAAACAACACCAAGGGCCACAACGATACTTCTTAATTTAAGATTCAAATATATTGAATGTTTGTCCAAGCTTCTTGGTTAATTTAAACTAATTGAGTCACTTCTCTGTTCATTTCTGAAACAGATTTTATTTTTAAATAAAAAGATTTTTAAAATCCATTAAAGACCTTTTTATTTAATAGCCATTTATAGTCTGTGCCAATCATTTGCAGATAATAAATTATTAGTTCTATTTAATTTGGAATGCCCGCGGCATTTTTACATCGACCTTCGTGCGGAGCGCACGTCAGCTGACCCTTGCTGATCATGTCCGATTTAAATGTCAAAACCACCTGAGAAATGATGTATGAGATAACATTTAATGTAAGTAGGCATTAGTAAATATAATGTTTTTATTGCCAATTAGTCATAGAAATAAGAATTATCGTTCGTTATTTTACAATAGATTCAAATCACAATTCAAATACTTGACTTGGACGGTGTATGTATTTGTGTTTCTTGAAATTACAGCTGCAATCTCGGTGTATTTCTTCCCTTATATCTTTTTTTTTATAACATAAGGTGACAAACGAGCAAGCGACCACCTGAAACCGCCAAAATGGCGAAGCGACCGCTGTCCATAGACATCCGCAATTGCAGATGCGTTACCTACCCTTATAAGGCGGAGGAGGAGACGCACATAAAGAGGATATTTCCCCTTCCCATGCATCTACTCCACCGTCAAATCTACTTCCTCTTCCCAACCTCTGCTTATAAAAAAAGGATGGTAAAGAGAAAGGGACTTAAATTATATCTCTTGTGGAACAAGAATATTGGCATCTTCATCATTCTCTTTAAAAATAAAATATAAAACAATGCTTCTTATACATATGATACGATTGTTAAAATAACAGTTAAACTGTACTAAGCAGACAGAGGGAGGACCGCATTCTGTGGAAGGCTTAATGTCTAGCAGTGGACAGATAAAGGCTGAATGATGAAGCAGACAGAGTTTAACAATTGTAGAGTCTGCAATAACAACGGGCGTGAAGGTTTGTCTGATGACGTCCCAGTTTTAGTCCTTTCACTGTACTTTTCGTATAGGAATGAATGGAAAGAGGAACTGACTTTGGCAAGAGTGATGACGATTAAAATATCCTCTTGCCAAGCCCTCTTGCTTCCTTGATGTTGGCAGCAGCTTATAGACTCTTTACCGCATTAGGGTTTTTATCTAATTTATTTACCCCCTAAGTTTAATAGCCTGAAAAAATATAGCCTAAAGCGTGATGTAAGTGTTGGGGTTTTTATTAAAAAAAGAGTTATTCAAAAATATGCTGTAATTGTTGACATCTTACGCCACAATAAAGTGTGTGTTTACGCTTTATTATATTAGTATAGATTAAAAAACGACTTATTTGGCTTGTTTCTAAAATTCCTTATTTTATGGGTTTTTAACTTTTTCTATTTTAGCAATGATGTGTACTTATTTAGTTTCTTCAATGGTATATATTATAGTATACATATAAATATACTTAAGCAGAAAGTCGTCAGATTGCGGTCAAGTGCATCTACTTGGACATGTGTAAAGGTTGTACGTATGTCGATTAACTTGTTAATAGATTACTATTAATAATGGCGAATTTAAAATATTTCATTTCAGATTTTAATTGCTACGTTAATAAACTTAAAAACTGACAAATGTGTCTGTTTTATAGTATTACTAGCTCTCGACTGCAACTCTTGAGTGGAATTAAAGAACTAAGCCTATGTGTTCTTCCAGATTATGCTCTATATATATATGCCAAATTTCATCGAGATCCG